GTACGGGTCCCTCGGCAGATAAAGAATAGTGTGGAAGAGAAAATGCTTTGCTGTTTACCTTTTTATATACTTCCTGATCCTTTGTCTGTTCATGAAACTATATTATCTGTTTGAAGATTGGTATCTTCACAATGAATTGACATGTCAGGCAGTGAATAATGAAAGCAGAATAAGAATAAATGCCTTGAACTGTGGTCTTGGCAATGAGTATCAAACATTTGATAGATTGTTATTGTTGTTATGTGCCGTTGAGTCACTTGCAACTCATAGCTACCCTATGACAACAGTTCTGAACTCTGCATTATTCTGAGCCAACCTTATTGTCTCTGACACACCTACCCTCATTACCCCAGTCACTGAGTCAATTCATCTCATCGAGGGTCTTCCTCTCCTGCGCTGTCCCTCCACCCTCCCAAGCATGATGTTGCTCTCCTGGGATGTTGCTCTTTGCAACATGTCCAAAGCATGTCAGACGAAGCTTCAGAATCCTCGCCTCCAGGATGCTGCCTGGATTCACCCTCTCCAGGGCAGACCTGTTTGTCCTCCTAGCGGTCCATGATTGATTACAAGTCTGTCTTGGAGGAAGGGCTACCAGAATGCTCATTAGCAACAAAGATGGTAAAGCTTCATCTCACATAGTTTGGGTATGTTGTCAAGAGGAATCAGTCCTTGGAAAAATGATATCAGGCTGAGAAAGATAGAGGGTCAGAGAAAGAGAGAAGACTGTTAAGGAGATGGACTGGCACAGCGATGCCAACAATGGCTTGGGCATGAGGGAAACTGAAGACGGTCAAGGATAAGACAAGGTTTCCATCTGCAGTAGCCGACTCAATGACACCTAACATTTGAAAATTAGTATCAATAACTAATCAAGGAACCTGCGGGACAAACAGATGGTTCTGAGACACTTTAAACCAAACCAGTTGCCCCCAGGTCAACCCTTACCAGTGAATACCCGAGTTGGCCTCTCTATGTCAGAAAGATTGGCTGGCTCCTCTTGTAAAGATTTACAACTTGAATGTTGAACCTTTGTGTGAATAGCCAATCACCTAACCCTTTGCATCACCCAGTTATTGTTGTGTGTTCTACAGTTAGAACCAACCCATAGCTGGTCCTCCCGCAGGTTTTTAGAGGCAGTTAATTGTATAGGGGGGATTCGAACCGTGTGTCTTTGGTATTGCAGCACAGCTTCTTGCCACTAGGCCATCAATGGTCCCTGGCATCAGGCAGGACCAATATTAACCCACTGAAATGAAGTCTCCAGCAATGAGCACTCCTAACCCTTATCACAAAGGGTCTATGCAGTTATATCTTAAAACCAGAGACATATACCTCTTCAGTTCTAATTTCAGAGTTTATAGCACAAAACATGAGATGAGAGATTAAGGAGTACAGAGTACAAATGCCATCTGCCCCAGATTGCCAAGATGAATGTTATTGTTACTATGTGGCTTCCAGAAAACAATTTGTACAATTTATGGCCAAAGATTTTCATTTCTACACTTCCCTTTTGCTGTGTTATTAAACAAAGTGATTGAAAAGGGAAGAAAACAACCCATTTTATGCTCCGGGTGACAGATGGGTGAAAACGGGGCTGAGCAGCTGCAACTGGGTTCTGACACTCACTTCAGTTTCCAGCCGCTGCCATCCACGCCTGTGTCTGCGGTCTGCCTAAGACAGCGGCGCGTGCTGATTAAGTGCCACCATGAAAAGGACGGAAAGAAAGAAAAACAAAACAAAACAAAACAAAACAAAAGCTCCATCCATAGTTGAGCTGGAAAGCCATCAAAATCTGGTCTCAACTAAAGATGTACAAACACAGTCTACAAACCAACAAACAAACAGACTCGGTGCTGCTAAGTTGATTCTAACTCAGTCAGAGCAATCCTACAGGGGAAAGTGGAACTGCCCAGTAAGGTTTACAGAAGCGGAACTCCACATCATGCTTTCCTCGAGTGGATGGTGGGTTTGAAACTCTAAAGTACTGGTTAGCAGCCAAGCATCCCACCAGTCTGCCATCAGGGTTCCTTTTGTTCACAGAGTCACTATGAATTATATGTGACTTTATGAGACACCTAGCAACAACAACCCATTGTTATCAAGTGGATTCCAATCAATGGTGACCATCTACCAGGTTTTACAAACTGGACATGCTAACAGGAAGTGGCTGCCTCTTCTCTTTCCTAAGGAGTAGTTGCTGGGTTCTAAGTGCCCACCCCTTCGGTCAGCAGTCCAGCACTTAACCAACTATACCACTCAGTGTATCTCTGTGTATCTCTCTCTCTCTCTCTCTCCCTGTATCATCTCTCTATCATCTATCTATCTATCTATCTATCTATCTATCTATCTATCTATCTATCTATCTGCCTACCTATCTATCATCTATCTACCCCCTCCCCCTCTCTTTCTCTCTCTCTCATCTATCACCTATCTACCTCTATCTATCTATCTATCTATCTATCTATCTATCTATCTATCTATCCATCCATTCATGTAGCCACATTAAGAAAAAGAAAATACATGACATAATTTACTTATCCAATGTTAAAGTAATAAGCAAACCAGACTATGGTTGGAAGTAGCTGGAAGAAGGTGTGAGTGGAGACTAGGGGTTGAATCCCTGATTTCATTAGTTGATCTGAACATTCAGATTGTACAAAGTCATCTAGAGAATGTATTTAACATTGTTATAGTTTCTGTGCATATCTTAGGTGTCAGTAAACAGCTAAAACAAAACCATTCCAGGTCAGAGGAACAATTTGCAAATGAGCTTTGGATCAGTGTTGGATTTAAGTCTTAAATGCACACCCTTGGGTTCCTGTCAAGACACCAAAGAGGTTCCCAACTAGAGACTACAATGAGAGGGTGCTGACTGCTCGGAATCAGGCAGGTATTTGGTTTGGTGGTTAAGTGGGGTCCTCCCTCTCCCCAGGTAGATGTGTTGGTATAAGTGTATTGGTATAAAGCATGTTGGGCTGCTAACTCAAAGAGTGATGGTTTGAGCCCACCCGTGGTTCTGAAGGAGAAAGATAGGTATCTCCTCCCATTAAGATTTACAGCCTTGAATTAATGACGGAGGGTGGTCCTGAATGGAGCCGCAAGAAAGAGGCACTGTGCCCCATCCCACTCCTCAGACACTCAGTCACCTGAGACGTTCCACCTAAGTTAGGTTTACGGAAAAGCAAATTTTCTTCATTAAACAATTCCTTCATCTCAAACAAAAGCATTTTCATGGAATCCTTCCAAAAATGTATTTCACACATCCTTGACTTTTAAAAGGAACCCGCGGAATAGAATTTAATCTTTATAACAAATAACAACAGTGACAATTAGGCCTTGCCTATATGCCACATACTGTCCAAAATGCTTTACATCAAAATGCCTCTTTTCATCCTCATAGAACCCTATGAACTACATCTTATTATTACACTGGGTGGTTTAAAATCTGTAAGTGTGTATGTCAAGGTTGTATCTTTTCTCCAGACCTATTTGATGTGTACTCTGAGCAAATAATTCAAGAAGCTAGACTCTATGATGAAGAATGTGGCATCAGGATTGGAAGAAGACTTAGACTTACCAAGAGCCAGTACTATGACACAACCTTCCTTGCTACTTGCTTCAAAAAGTTCAATGATTACAGCCTTCAAACAAAAATCCTCACCACAGGACCAAAAAGCAACATCATGACAGATGGGGAAAAAAAGATTCAAACTGTCAATGATTTCATTTTACTTGGATCCACAATCAACATCCATGGTGTCAGGAAATCAAAAGATGTATTGCATTGGGGGAAAACTGCTGCCAGGAACCTCTTCAAAGTCCTGAAGAGCAATGATTTCAGTTTAAAGACTACGGTGCACACGATCCAAGTCATGGTCTTTTCAATTATTTGCTTTGCATCTGAAAGTTGGGCAATGATAAAGGATGACAGAAGAATTCATGCCTTGGAGTCATAGTATTGGAGAAGAGGGCTGAATGTCCCACAGATGCCCAAAAGATCAAGCACGTCTGTCTTGGCGGATTGTGCAACCAGGGTGCTCCTTATAGGCAAAGATAGTGAGACTCCACCTCATTTACTTTGGGTATGTATGTGGTCATGAGTGGCCAGTTCTTAGAAAAAGACGTCTCGTTGGGAAAGGTAGAGGGTCAGGGAAAGAGAGGAGGAAGACCCTCAAGAACATGACTGACACAGTGACTTTAATAATGGGCTCGAGTATATCAGAGATGGTAAGGACGGCACAGGATAGAACAAGATGGGAATCTGTTGTTCACAGGGTCATTATGAGTCAGAGTTGACTCAATGGCACTGAACAACACAGTCTGAGACTCAGCTTGCTTAACTAACTGATCCAAGTCATACAGCACATAATGCAACGGGGCCTCATTCTCTATGCAGAGTCTGCACTTTTTACCACACACGGCACTGCCTCAATAGCTCTGGTGATTATTTCATGTTGTGCTCAGTGATGCCGACAGACAAGAATGTTAATCGTCCATTTATAGAGGCCCTCTCATTGCCTTTCTTTCCACATTTTTCCATTCCCTTTCATCAATATTGTATTATGAGTCGGCCAATAAAGCTTGTTATCAGTATGCCAGGCTTAGCTAAATGGCTCCCCCAGTTGAAACCTACAATTTGACAGACATCTCGACCACTTTGTTTCCACCACTTTAAAGAAAATGCTCAACCATTCTTAGAGTTTTCCATTAGGCTAAGATACCCCACAGAGTTGGAACAACTTCTTTATCCCTCTGAGAAACCCCTCTGGCTCTCTGCATTTCAAAGTGTCCTGGATTTGCTGCTTCTTAACGCAGCTCAGAAGGAAGGCTGAGATGCTCATCAGATTAACCCAAACAGCCATCAACAGGGGTCCATCTGCACCGCAGTCTCTCTCTCCCCAAACTCAACAGTGGGCACAGATAGCATCAAGGCATGCAGAGAGTCATTTTCTGCAGGGTTCTGGCAGGCCTGCAGAGAAAAAAATAATCCCCATCCTTACCCAGTTTTCAAGCTGACCAAGGCATCCTCCACTCCCTTCTGATTAAATTTGGTCATGTACTGGTGCATGTAGGGATAGTTATTCCGAATGTTTCTCTCCGTGCTTCCGTTAGGCACCGTGCCAAATCGAAAAGGTGGGGAATAGTCATGAGGTCTCTGAAACTAGAAGAGGGAACAGGGGAGAGGAGGGGGGGGTAAGGAAAGGGAGGAGGAGAAAAATGAGGAGAATTAGAAACAATCAGCCATCATTTTCTCTTGAATCACGAGTTAAGTCTGTGCAGTCAATTAGCTCAGGATTGAGGCGGCGGGGGGACCCACATTAATTTTTTGGTGTTTCCTTGCTCCTTAATCACATATTCTCCAGATCTGTGTCCCCAACAGGTCAGGAACAGCATCTGTCTAGCTCCATGTAATTCTGCAACACGGACATAGCTGGATGCTCAATGCTGTTGATGCTGTTGGGTGCTATTGAGATGATTCTAGTTCAGAGCAACTCAAACGACTGAGCAGACCTGCTCCATAGGCTTTAAAAGCTGTGCTCTTTATGGGAGCAGATCTCCATGCTTGGTAACGTGTGATATGTTGGTCAATGTTAACAGAAGGTTTAGCGGTTCGAATCCCACAACTGTTCAGCAGGACAGAGACACAGCAGTCTCCCTGTCCCCTCCCCATGAAGATTTACAGCTTTGGAAATCCAAAGGCAAGTTGTCATGAGTTATAACAGAATTAACAACAGCATTTCTGTTGCTTCTACTCCACCCCCACTCCTCCACTCCCCACCCCCGCCACAGTCACTGGGTGGTTTTGAACCACCAATGTTCAGTAAGCAGCTAAGTGTTTTTTGCTGATGATGTTACTATGTGTCATTGAGGCAGACCCTCCGGCAGGTTTTCAGAGGCTGTAAATGGCACAGGAGGAGTCCTCATCTTTTCCATGGAGCAGCTAGTGGATTCGACCCGCCTGCCTTTTGCAGCTAACGCAGAGTCTGTGCTCAGTAAATGCTGACTGATGAGGAACACAGGTCCTGCTTTAGTTTAGTTTACTCATCTACCTGGGGTGGAATTTTCTGTAGTCCTATCATCCATCTCTCCTCTGAGCTCCATTCATAAGAACCCTCACCTCATGAAGAAAATAACTGCTGTCATTCATTCCCCCTTCATTCATTCATTCACTCACTCACTTATTCATTGGTACAGTTGCCATATCTTTCTTTACCGTGATTTGAGTGAGTGAGCATTTATAAATTCTTTTTCATTGAACATTCATATGCATTTTGTTCTGTAACATGAATTTCAATACCCACAACGTAATCTTACCTTCGCTCTTCCTCCCTATAATTCTGATTTCCATCAATCTTTCTATTATCACCCTGTGTCTTTCTTTTCTTTGCTGATATTCTGATCATCCCCTTACTATGTATTACCTTTACCTTCACTCAATACATATATTTTATTCACTCATTTTTACTACTCCCTCTCTTTCCTTTCCCATCCTAGTAACCATCTAAGAATGATTCCATGTATAAATCTTTTCTTAGCTTTTTTTAACAGCGGTCTTAGACAGTATTTGTCCTTTAGTGACGGATGTATGTCCCTCAGCATAATGTCTTTTAGATCCATCCCTGTTAGGAATGTTTTGTGAATTCTTTATTGTTGCTTAGTGTCGCATGGTACCCCATTATACGAATGGACCATTATAGAGAGCAGATTGGCACTTCCTTAGAAAGCTGGAAATACGAACAGATAGTTCAATGCATATGAACAGATATAGCACATCCATGCTAACTTCAGCAAAACTCACTATGGCGAAGACATGGAAACAATCAAAGTACCTATCAACAGAGAAATGGATAAAGAAACTACGGTGCATTCAATCAATGGAATGCTTAAAAATATTATATATAAAAATAAAATATATTGTTGTTAGTTGCTGTGAGTCAGCCCTGTCTTAACATGATCTTGTGTACTGTTGTTAAATGATGAAAGTTATACAAGTGTTCAGGTCTTTCGTTCATAGGGTCGCTATGAGTCATCTATGACTTGAGATGACACTTAACTACAACTGTTGCGACAATGTACTGTTGAGTAGGAACCACACATAGCTGACCCTCCAGTGGGTGTTCAGAGGCTGTAAATTGCAAGGGAGGCAACTGCCCATCTTTCTCCCTCAGAGTGGATTCACACCATGTGCCTTCAGGCTGACAGTGTCACTCTTTAGAACAGGGGGAAACATTTCCAGGTCTTCAGCTCTGAGGACCTGGCCTGTAAGGGGGTTTCCCTGCTAACTCAAAGGCAGTGAAGGTTCCCATTATTTGGTGCTTTCAGTTTGAACTGCCAGAGGGGCCACCTTTAGGTTCTAACAGCACAGCGTCCTGTGGTCTGGCCACTAGCGCTCCCTCCTGGCAATCCATAATATACTCAGTTTTCTTCCCCCACGTCACTGTTTGGATGCACCAACCTGTCTGTGTTCTCTTTTGCAGTGTCTAGCTTTCACATGCATATGAAGTGGTTAAAAGACCTTGGCTTGGGTCAGGCATACCTTAGTCTCAAAGAACATGTTTGCTTTTTAAAACTTTAAGAAGGTTTTTGTTTTGTTTTGGGTTGTTGGTGTTTTTTTTTTTTTTCTCCCTCTGCCCAATGAAATACATTGTTGGATTTCTTTTAGTTGCTTCCGAGGTACTGACTATTTATCTAAGTAGACCAAAAACATTGACAGCCACATTCTTTTTTATTTTTCCCCCTTCCTTTTTTTTTTAAGTTGAGTGCACCTCTAAGACCAAATGAGTTTTAAAAGGCTGCAGGTCTGGCCACGTTTCTTCAGTTTCCCATCGGTTCCCAGCAATAGGCCTCCCAGCCAAACAGACTCAGACGATATTGTAAGTCAAATTGTGAGGACTTCATTTTCTCCACGTTCAGGCATAAGGCTGTGCTCTTTGACCACCCCAGGCGTAATGTGTGTCATCCAGCAGGCTCCATGAACGCTTGTTGACTTGAAGCACCCTACGAACTTCCCAAGGGTGTTCATGTCTTGCTTGTGTCTTGATCCTCCACACGTCATGTCGTGCCCGCTCCGCTAGTCCTCCTCGACTAGCCAGTTGATACAGCTTCAGTGTTTGGGTCACCTCAGCTAGGTCGGGAGCTGAGAAAACTGGGCCCAAGTCCCAGGCATTTAACTTATCAGAGGGGTTTTGGGGCAATGGTTAAGGGTGTGTGTTTAGCACAGAGCTGCGGGTTGAAAACTAACATTTCTCCAGTCATAAGAGGAGTGCCTAAATAGTTGTTGTTGTTGTTGTGAGGTGCCATCAAGAAAGCTCAGGTATGTAATGACTCTTACGTACAACAGAATGCAACTCTGCTCTCTCGGGCAGCCTCCGACCCTCACAGTCTCCACTGCCCTTGTCGTGGTCCCTGGATCAGTCTGCTCCATCGAGGGTCTTCCACTTCTTCCCTGACCCTCTGCTTTTCTCGACATGATATCCTTCTCCAGGAATGAGCTACCCCTCCTGCTCAAACTATACACTATACAACCAACCAGTTATTACTTTTATTATCATGATGGGCCAGAATAACGAAGCGAGGCTTCACTATTTCCATGAAATAAGAAATTATAGCAATCAGAAAGCGGCAATATTAATGATTGCCACTTTCAGAGGACTTCGTTGGCCTCAGTTCTCAGTGCCTAACGATTCAGTGCCAGCTCATTCAGTTCTGCACAACAGCCTTCCCAGGCAATTCATCTTAGAGCACCCATTTTGCAGATGAGGAAATTGTGGCTTACAGAGATTTTGTTCACCTTCTGTAGTGGTTGTCGTTACTGGCCATTGACTTGCCCCACATGATGACTTCATGCACACCGGGGAGAAAATAAAATAGTGTCCGGTCCTGTGCCATTCTTTGAGATCACTTGTACAGTCCGCTGTGATGCAAAAGATTGTCAGTGGTTGATTTTTGGGGAGTCAGTCTCTAGGTCTTTCCTCCTAGTCTGTCTTATTCTGGAAAGCAGCCAAGGATTGTAACAACAGTACACCTCCACTAAATGACTGGGGTGGTTGTGCACAAGGCACATTACAACAACTGCAATTGTTGTTGTTGTTATGTGCTGTCAAGTCGCCTGAGACCCATAGTGACCATATGTACAATAGCTCTGAACCCTGCTCTATCCTGTGCCAATCTTATTGTTTCTGACACACTTATCCCCATTACCCCAGCCACTGAGTCAATCCATCTCATAGAGGGTCTTCCTCTCTTCTGCTGTCCCACTACCCTCCCAAGCATGACGTCCCTTTCCAAGGACTGATCCCACCTTGCAACATGTCCAAAGTAGATCACACAAAGCTTCAGAATCTTTGCCTCCAAGGAAAAGCCTGGCTTCACCTTTTCCAATATGAACTTATTTGTTCTCCTAGCAGTTGATGGTATGTTCAATACTCTTCTCCAGCACCACAGCTCAAAGGCATCAATTCTCCTTCTATCATCCCTAGTCATTGTCCAGGTTTCTGATGTATAACAAGTAATTGCAAAGACTGTGGCCTGTATCAGGTGCACCTTACTCTCCAGACTGACATTGTTGCTCTTCAGCACTTTGGAGAGGTCTCTAACAGCAGACTTTTCCAATGCAATTCGTCTTTTAATTTCTGAGCTGCTGGTGCCAACAATTTTGATACTGTCAAGCAAACGGAAGCTGTTAACAATCTCAGTTTCTTCACCATCTATCATGAGGCTGCCAATTGGCTCAGAGGTGAAGGATGCAGTCCCTGATCCTCTGCAGCAAGCGCTTCAAGTCCTCCCCAGTTTCAGCAAGCAGGGCTGTGTCATTTGCCTAATGTAGACTGCAATTAGTGACCTGAAACTTGCAAGGATGGCGAAGTTCCATCTCACATACTTTGGGCATGTTGCTAGGAGAGGCTATCTTTGGAGAAGATATGTTTGCAAAGGTGGAGGGTCAGTGAAAGAGAGGAAGACCCCCAATGAGATGGACTGACATACTGACAGCAACAATGGGTCTAGCTGGGTCAGAGATGACGAGGATGGCACAGGATAGCACAGGATTCAGATCAGTTGTTTACAGGGTTGTTATAAATCATGTTCAACTTGACAGAACCTAACAACAACAACATACCCGTGCAGAATCCCTGGTGCAAATGGTTAACATGTTCAACTCTG